TCTACTGAAGTTGTAAGGATTAGAGACATTCTTTAGGTAGGTAGGTCACCTGTAGATGTAACACAAACACTAATTAATAATTACTTGGGTAACTTAAAAATCGAGAAGTTTAAAATGAAAGACGATTCCCAAAAATGAGGTATTACACACTATTAGGGTTCAAAGGAAAGAAAGCTAGTTCAAGTGTTCCTATTTTTCTTTTCCCATCCTCATCATGCTGAATTAGACACTTCCAGCATGTAAACTATTTCAAGACATAAGGTGGACATTTAACAACTCTTACCCTCAGGCACAACATTTACATTAACAACCTGAAGTTTCACTAATCAGCGTACCTAATAGCATTTGAAAAAGGAAAGGCTCTTGTTCAAAAGTGTTCCAAAATGTCATCTACTCCAGAAACTCCAACCTAACAGCCTTTGTTTCAGCAAACACAAACATTTCTCTTTAGAGGTCACTGACAATTTGCTTATGGTAGCTTGGAAGTAGTCGCTAACATGTTTGGTCCTCAGATGAACTACCCTTAGACTACTGAACCAGCCCCCTTTTTTGTCCATCCACACACTCGCTTCTCTACTCAAGTACCACACATGTGCTGCTACTGAAAGAAGCTTCCTGACAATAATTCTGCTCCCAGTACACTGCAGCATAGCAACAAGCATGTATCCTCCACTGCCAACAGACATGATAAACTACTTGCCTTTCTGATAAACATCTTAACAGAGGCTCATGCTTGTGTTGCTGCACACAGTACTTACCTGCAGTAGTGAGCAGCAGCAGCAGAGTGAACTTGAAATGGTATAGATCAAATAATCAGAAACAGGATCTCAAATACAAAGTGTTCTAGAAACATTTTATCTATTTGTCAAGTGGGCATAGAATAAATCATGTCCCATTTCCCACCCACCCCCTTCAGTTTAAAATATAATGACCAGGGATCCTGGTTTTCTCAGTTTAAAAACCCCAAATTTTTCAATTTAAAGGGGAAAAAATCCCAAATTGATTTAAAAAACCCTAAAATCCACGTTTTCCCACAATTAAAATGAAATGCTGCTTTATACCTATATGTGTGTGTGCATGCATGTATTAGTTGAACATGATATTTTATTCACATATTTACAATTTTAAAGCAATTTGGAAGTCTACCAGTGCCTTGATCATCACAATAAAATACATGCTAAATATCTATAACATTTTGGTATTTGATTTCGTTTTTTTATCATGGCAAATCAGAGCTCTCCCTGCCCTCCTTGTTCACCAGAATGCAGATCCAGCTGCAGCCCAGGCTCTCTCCCCACTCCCTCCGCCACTGACACGGCTGGAGCAGAGCCTTGTGGGGGTAGGATGCAGGCTGCCCACTGTGGGACTTTGGTCTCCCCACCCTGCTGTCCTCTTCCCTCGGCCTCCACAACACAGTGGGCAGGATCCGACACAGAAGAGCAAAGAGGCTTGGTGCTGTTGCTGCCACAAGCCCTTTGCCAGCCACGCCACCACAGTGAGGCACCCCCTGCCTGCTTGGCAGCAAGCCCAGTGGTGGCACAGTTGTACCCTCTGCTGCAGCCAGGCAGATGCCTCATCCTGGTGGCACAGCTGGTGCAGGGTTTGCAGCAGAAGCACTGATCCTCTCCACTCTCCCGTGCCAATCCCCACCTACTGGACTGCGATGGCCCCCAGAAGGAGGGCAACAAGACAGGGAGCCCCGAGCCTTGCAGCAAGCAGCCCTCATCTGCTCTCACCCTACCCATAAAATCTGGGAGGCCACGCCCTGGCCAGGCCTCACAGCCACGTATTCCTGCCCAGCTGGGCAGCGCCTCCAACCCCAGCTGCCAACCCTGCCCCACTCCCTCCCTCACTGTGGGGGCAATCTGCCCTGCTTCCCCATAGACTTACCTACAGGCAGCTTCTCTCCACCACTGGCTGGCTCTGTTGCTGGCCACATGCATGTGTGCGCATGCACACATGCACGTGGCACCCTTTGTTTCTTGCTGTCCCCAGCCCCTAGCAGGCTGGAACTCTGCCAGCCTGCAAGGGGGAACCCAGAGTTTCCCACATTTTTCTCCTTCAAAGGAAAAAAAATCCACCCTTTCCTAGATGTTTGGTACCTGGGGCACTTTGATTAAAATCGCTGGTACGCTTCACTCACCAGTCTATGGGCCTGATCCCAAGCACAGTGCCAGCTCAGCCAGAGCCTCATCCAGCCCATTTTTCACAGCACAACCTTTGGGAATCACATCTAGCATGTTGGAAAGCCTATACTGCTGACATAATAAATTGGGGCAGCATTGCCATTAAACACCAAAAATGACTGAAAAAAAGTAGTTAATGTTGCAAGAGTGAACAGCCTTAAACTGAGTAAGGACAAATGTCAGTTTCAGACAACAGAAATAATATATTTGGGCAAGCTGCTAACCCCAAAGGGAATTTTACCTGGAAACTGAAAAGTTCAGGTGATACTGAACACAGCAAAAACTAAAGATAAAAAAGCTTGCACAACAGAAAATTATTCTGGCACATATCCACAAGGGGCCAGCAAGGGGAGGTCATGCTTAGCTTAGGGGCAACCAACACGGGTTCATTAG